CTACTTATAAAATATTATCAATTATTCCTGTTTTTTTTAAAATCAAATTCGACTTAAGGAAAGACCTTGGGAATGGAACTTGTTCTTAAACTGGGGACTACCTGTAGTTTGTTCTTTGATCACATCACTTGCACAGTGAATTAGGCTCTGATGGGCCAACTGTACTGCTGATCCTCTCAGGAATCTGCAGAAGGCTGCAGAAGCTGCTGAGCCAGAATGCAGCCATTTGATGGCAGCACTAGATCACCATTTATTTATCTTGAGACAGAGTTTGAGCAAGAAGAGATACTAGTACAAAATGTGTGGGCCACAGACTTGCCAAGAGCTAACCTTGAAAGATGCAACCGTTCCTTTAATATATGTGTGTGTGGAAAGAAAAGCTCAGGCAGAGCAGTTTCTCACCTCTTTGCAGTGGTGTTGTGATAGGACGTGCCATTCTTAATGTCCAAGTACCCAGGCTGCAGGAAAGATTTATGAGTCAATAATGGGCTACTTTTACTCCTATGTTAGCTTCTTTCTAACTGCTAGCTTGATTCTGAGCTTCAAAGAAAGAATCCATTTTGAACCCCTTATGGGTCCCAGCACCAAATGGTTTTAGGGAACAGAATTCAGCATGCTGAGCTGTTCCCCTCTTGAGCTGGAGCATACTTTAGATGTGAAAACTTTGAGTAATCTAGTTGGAGAAGAAAGGCAGAATACACTGGAGCAAATCTAGGAGGAAAGAGAAGTGGTCATTGATAAGAACTACCAGATACGAACTGCAAAAATCCAAATAACCACAAGATGACAGCAAAAAGTTAAGATTTTCTACATCTCTTTGCTTACACTATTGGTCTTCTGAACTTTTGCAACTCAGATCTGGTAGCCTTGTGTTTGACCAGCCCTTGGAGGTCATAGCCCAGGCTTTGGAACAGTGTGAACTTTGATAGTCTTGTTTCCCGATTATATTGGCCATTGCTTGCATTTTTGTTCCTGATGTTGTCCTTAAAAGTGTGGCTCAATGGTAGATGGCTCAGTGGCTCATGCTTGACATGCAGAAGTGTCAGGTTCAATCCCTGGCATCTTCAGACAGGGTCAGTAAAATGCATGCATGAAACCCTTGAGAACCACTGTCAGACAGTGTTGATAGGACCAAGCTGGAAAAACCAGCGGATTGATTCAGTATTGGACAGCTTCCCAGTTTCAAACCCATACATCTTCATAAGAATGACTGAACAAATAACTAAAAAACTCAGCACTGAAATTAGGGTCCATGCTCTGTGTTTGATGGGGGTTTGAAGCAGATGATATTCCTTGTTACAGTGTGTAGGGAGATATGCATGGCTCTTGATTGTCAATGCCTCCAGCACTGAGACAGAAGCCATAAGCATCCAAGACAGCCAGTGTTTGCATCAGCTCTGATGCCTTTCTATGGAAGAAACATCTCATTTGCCAAAACTGATTGCCTTCAAACTTTTAGTCATCCAGTAATATTCCTGCATGTGTGAATATATCCACTGTAACACAGACAGAACTCTGCCCTGCTTTCCCCCATGCTCTCTTCCTTTGCTGCAGCATGCTTTGCATTTCACAACCCATTAGCATCTTTATGCTGCCACCCCCACATTCCTCTCTGGGGAAAGTAAAGCTGCACCCTGAATGTGGGAACAAGCTTAAAGTGAGAAGAGGTGCCTCCCAGCACTGGGATAATAGCAATAATAAATGGTAGAGATAGTAAGGCTGCCATATGTTCTTACTTTGTGACAAAAGCATTTGCAAGCCACACAGTCTTGGCTTTTTTCTCCAGTGTGGCCAGCCTGGTATTTTCTATTTATTGATGCTCCGAGCATAATCTCCAGTCCCTAATGCCACTGCTAGTCTACTCCAAGAATAGATGCGATCTTGAGGGATTATTAAAGCAACATGACCCACCTTATTGATTAGCCTCTTGGGTTAATAAGCTAGATTAAGCCTTCTTAGCACAGTGCTAAGATTGAAGGCTGGCAAGTGATTTTACAATCTAAGAGGACACTCCGCTTCTTTCTCTCCCTGCCATGGAAGCAAAATGAGAGTAGCTCTTGATGCTGAAGGCGGCATAATAATCTAGGGTGAAGTGGGCAGGAAAATGAAACAGAAGGCATTTTGCTGAAAAAGCACTGAAATGTATTGCAGTTCCCTGGATATTGAACCAATTGAATACCTAGCCATTGCAATCCCTGGGCCGCAATATTTATCACAGAGAGCCCAACAGGAATATTTATTTGCTAACTGAATTATTTTTTAAAAAATCAGTTATAGAAGAGAGACTTTCCTCCAGTGTAAGAGTCCCACCTTAAGCCATGTTTATTTTCATCCAGAGCTGATTATCTTTTGTTTTTAATTATTTCAAATATAATTTTTATTAAGAATTTTAATTACAGTAGTAAAAATGAGTACAAACTAAACTTAGAGAAAGAGAAGAGAATGGAAAGAAAGAATAAAAAGTGCAAGAAAGAAAAAAAGAAAAAAGAAAAGAGAGAATATAACAAAGAAAAAGAAAAGAAATATATAAAGAAGTGACTTCCAACCTTCATCACAACAGGTATAAACAAATTTAATAACTCTTCAAAGGTTAAACAGATCTCTCTTTCTCCCATATCCCATCCCTTAACTATAAGCAAATCTATAAAACATCAACTTTTCAATCTTGGTATCAGCAAAATGTCTGTAAAGGGTTGCCAGAACATTGCAACAAAATGTCTTATTTTAACCTTGATCAAATAAATCAACTTTATATTCCTTCCTTTTACTTCTAACAGTCTTAATCTTTAATTCAGTCAAATATTGTTCTAGGATTTAATTTCTCTTCATTTCTTCTTTATCCCATTACGCAGATTTCTTCAAGGCTTTAACAAGCCTCTTCTGTAAATCCAATAAGAAAACATTTTCCAGGTCATTCTCTTGGTTTATCATTTGTATTTCCCTT